CCCCACATCCTAGCCAACACTTGCAATTGTTGTTGATTGATTGATTTTTATTATCTTTATTGTTGAAAGTATTACTGATGTCCCCCCTTTTTCCCATTGGCACCCTCCACCCAGCCCCTGGCGTTCCAAAGCCTTCACCCAACTATTGTCTGTGTCCATGAGCTGTGCATATATGCATAAATAAGTTTGCCAGTTAATTTCTCCCTACCAAATCACCACCCCTGCCTTCCCTCTGAAATTTATTAGTCTGTTCAATGCTTCTATGTCTCTGGATCTATTTTCTTCATCAGTTTATTTTGTTCATTAGATTCCACATATGAGTCAGGTAATATGATACTTATCTTTCTATAACTGGCTTATTTTGCTTAGCATAATACTCTCCAGGTCCTGTCATGCTAGCTCAAAGGGTAAGACATCTTTCTTTTATACAGCTGCATAGTAGTCCATGGTAAATGTACCACAGATTTTTTAAAATACATATTTTATTGATTTATTACAGTGAGGAAGGGATAGGGATAGAGAGTTTGAAACATCGATGAGAGAGAAACATTGATCAGCTGCTTCCTCTACACCCCCTTCTGGGGATGTGCCCACAATCAAGGTACATGTCCTTGACCAGAATCGAACCTAGAACCCTTCAGTCTGCAGGCTGACACTCTATCCACTGAGCCAAACTGGTTAGGGCACCACAGCTTTTTTATACACTTGTATACTGATGGGCATTTGTTTCAAGATCCTAGCTATTGTAAATTGTGCTGCTATGAACATAGGGGTACATATATTCTTTCTGATTGATTATTTTTTGGTGGGGAGGAGTTCTTAGGATATATTTCTAGAAGTGGGAACACTGGGTCAAATGACAGTTCCATTTTTAACTCCTTGAAGAAACTTCATACTGTTTTCCACAGTGGCTGCACCAGTTTGCATTCCCACTAGCAATGTACTGGGGTTCCCTTTTCTCCACATCCTCACCAGAACTTTCTATTTGTTGATTTGTTATGAAAACTAGTCTGACAGATGTGAGGTGATACCTCATTGTCATTTCATTTGCATCTCCCTGATGATTAGTGACTGAGCATTATGTCACGTGTAACTTGGCCGTGTGCATGTCTTCTTTGGAAAAGTGTCTGTATAGGTCCTTTGCCTATTTCTAAATTGGATTTATTGTCTTCCTTTTGTTAACTTATAACTGTCTCTGTTACCAGATGTATCATTGCCAAATATGTTCTCTCATACATGGGCTCCTTATACATTTTGTTGATGGTTCCTTTTTCTGTGAAGAAGCTTTTATTTTGATGTAGTCCCATTTGTTTATTTTTTCCTTAGTTTCCTACCCCTCCCAGGAGATGTATTGGTAAACATATTGCTATGAGAGATGTCTGAGATTGTGCTGCCTATGATTTCGTCTAAGAATTC